CAATACTGAACGCTTCCTTATCAATCTCATCGTTAGTCACTGGCAACAGCATCTTGGGGAACGACTTCCGATCAACCCCAGCTGGCTCACTCCCGGATGTTTCCTTATCAATCACATCGTAAGTCACCGGCAATACCATCTTGAGGGACACATCCTGATCAACCCCAGTCGGCTCATTGTTGAACAACTCGTTATCAATCTCACCGCTACTCACTGGCAATACCATCTTAGCGTCTTCTTGTTCCTCCCTAGGTGCAGCTGTCTGGCAAGTTTCATCCTTGAGGTGCATAGCAAAGTGCTGAGTATACTTGTGAAACCAGCCTTCATTGAGTTTTTTGTTTGACCTTCCCAGGACACTTCTCAAGCTGCGAGTATACTTGTGAAATGAGCCTCCACTGAGACTGTTTGGCCTTCCCTGAACACTTCTCAAGCTGCTTGGTGGTGTGGGGACCACATCCTGATCAACCACAACTTGCTCATTGTGGAATGACTCGTTATCAATCTCATCGATAGTCAGTGGCAATACCATCTTAGAGCTGTCTTGTTCCTCCCAACTCGTAGCTGTCCGAGACGTTTCGTCATTCTGGTTCATAGCAAAGTGAGGAGTGTACGTGTGAAACGAGTCTCCACTGAGGTGTTTGTTGGACCTTCCCTGAACACTTCTCAAGCTGTGCTGAGTGTGCTTGTGGAATGAGCCTCCAGTGAGACTGTGGGTGCTTCCCTGAACACTTTTCGAGCTGCTTGGTGGCTTGGGGACCACATCCTGATCAACCCCAACTCGCTCATTGTCGAGCGCTTCCATATCAAGCTCATCGATAGTCTCTGGCAATATCATCTTAGTGCTGTCTTGTTCCTCCCTACATGTAGCTGTCCGACACGTTTCGTCATTGCCGTTCATGGCAAAATTCTCCGACACGCTGCTTTTCGTCCTTGCTGTTTCCCTCAAGGGGTTTTTGGCTCGGCGTCTTTGGCAACGACCCGTCCATTGCTTGACAAAGTGCAAACATTCCCCTGGTTTGGAAAGTTTTTCATATCTTGAGGGCAAAAAGATAAAGACATTGAAGACTCCCATGAGCGGTCCAAAGAATTTGGCCAGGAAGCACAAGACAAAGAAAGTGCGCGCATTTTCGGGAATTGGGGGAGCTTTGTACAAGCTAGCAATCGCACTCCATATAAAAGCGAGAAAGAAACTTCCAATATACAGGAGACCCTGTTTCGCAGTTGCCTTTGTCATTGTCAGTTGGGCGGCGGCGTTAGTCGATCCCCGAACAGCGTAGCGGCTCAACCGTCTTTCGGCAGTCCACACGTGGACGGTGATGAGGACCATGCTGACGGTAATGGCCAGGAAGGGGAATGCAAAGAAGATCATAACGCCAGCGATCTTGGGGGGGTCAAACCCTTCCCCTCGAAGGCAGTCTATCTCTTTGTCGTCAGCACATTTCGGCGGAGCTAGAAGAAGGATGGCAAAGAGCAACGCAAACAAATTGAGGTCAGCGACGACGAATACATCTGTCTGAACTATACGGCATCTGTGGAAAGAGACTGCACACATTTTGGGACTTACAATCTATATAAAAACAATACCCACTCAAGCCGAATAGGGGGTTGATGTTCTCCTGTGCAATGCCAGCAACTGCGAAAGACATGGGCAAGAAGATGGCAATGACATGAAAGAATGGCTCCATCCATTTTGCCAAAAAATCCTCTGTGGCTTGAAACTTGACAACCAGAGCATGATACATGGCCAGAAAGGCATTGTACATCATATCACAGCACAACATTATCAAAAAAAAGCCTGCAATGTTGCAAGTGGTCACATTGCCTTGCTCGTTGAACGCTAGATGGCTTCCCTTGGGCACTGCCCACGACCCGAACGAGAACAAACCTAAAGAACAAATTGCATCCATTGTGCTCAAACCCAACATCAAGCGGTAGTACACGCTCTTGCGCAGCTGTTGTCGATCATGTAGAATCACGTAGATGATGGTCAGGGAACCAAACACCGAGGGCAGAGTGACAAAGTAAGTCACATAAGCCAATGCCATCTTTTGGCTATCTGAGTAAAGGTCAAGGGGTGGTGGGTTCATAGTGCCACCGGTACTGTTCATGATGTCGTTGTCAGTTATTGTGGTGGATATTTGATGGTTGCATTATTGCTCTCTGTGTGAGCTCTGTGTGCATGTGATGGTGGTTTGTGATTTGTGGTTTGTGCTAGAGTGGTCGCGTTTCGATGAGGAGTTGGTGTGTGGACTAAACCAGGGCTATGCCCTCTCTTGAAGCCCTCGGACAGGTACCGGTTGGTACGGTACCATATGGTGAGGCACAAGCAGTCCGATTTTTTAAAAAGTTTGAAACCCTTGTTTTAAGTTTTAAGGACCCACTCCCCACAGTGCAGCAGCAACCAGAACAAAGCGCACTATGCATAATTGAAAGTTCTAACCACCAGATAGATTTTTTTCTGTGTGAGCTCTACCGTAGCAACTGTACCAGTACTGTTTGTAGAGAGAAATAAATACTAAATAGAGCCGCGGTTTGTTAATAAGTCGGGTTTCGAGGAGGTGCTCGAGACATAAAGTGTGCGTCTATAGGAATGTACCGGTACCCCGTAGGCTCTCCACATGTACTAGAGTAGCGTTCTGGTGTACTGTAGTATAATCTTCATTCACGCTCCTTTGGCTCTCTTTCCTTAATAAGCCCAAACCACTCTACCGATGCTAGTACTCGATGCACAATAGCCCTTTACGGTAGTACCACTGAAAGGGCCGGAAATCACGATTTTATGAATCCAACCAAATTGATCAATTCGAAACCTAAATATAAAATCGAAACCTAAATATGAAATTGAAACCTAATTACTATGGTAATTAACTAGTAAAATCAAGCCGAAACCAAAATATACTGTATAAGATCCAAACCCAATTATAAAACCAAACCTGAATATAAAATCGAAACAAAGGTATAAATCGGATTTTGGTGTAAATCACCATTTCGGGCCCTTTACGGTAGTACCACTGTACCAGAATGTCATTGCCTACGGAGCCAACTTTAAGAGTCCCAAGCTGTCCCACTACCGGTACAATACAAAGCTTTGTGCAATGGGTTCTCATTTCACCTTGTTCTAGACTACTAATACATCCATGTCATGTAGCGCAGAGGGACTAGTACCGTAGTAGCTCCGTAGTAGAAGATCGAAACAGCAGTCGCGGTAAGGGTGGGTACACTTACTTTGTACTGTACATGAGCTGTGGCGTCGTCGGTGGTTTAGATTTTGGGAAGACACGTTTTCAAAGGATAAAGGTCAGGGATCTCGGCAACTCAGAGATCTCGCGAGCTCCACAAAAATCCACGACACCATCCACAGATTATTCTAAAGGAACTCGATAATGAATGAACCTTGCATGTGAAGTTCAGGGTTTGAAAATGGATTTGAAGTCTAAAAGAGTCCTCAGCCATGGCAGTCAAATTGCACGTTGAACCACACACATGAGGTCTCCTCATAGCATTGATCGATCGGCCTTGGTGGAATCGATCAATCGCATGAGGAAAGCATATGATACAGTATGATCTTATCAAGCTTGTTAGTGGCTGCATTATATTTTAGAAGTTGCAAAACTGTCTTGGCTACTATTCTACTGTAGCTAGCTTTTATGCATAGCGATGCCAGACAGACAGGGCCCAACAAAAAATTCAGATGAGAATCTTGAATTGAAGAACCCCATGCACATTCACATCCCAGAGTACATGTAGCAGCGGTAGACTAGTCTACGCTGCTCGCGCTGAAACTTGAAAGTATTTGACGACTTATGCCCAAGATGCCAGTAGAGCTGTGTAAATACGCAAAATCTTGGCCAAATCTTCGGTACCGGTACAACCGCAGACCGTGATGCCACGGAGAATGGGGCCTTGCTTCCGCTGCGGACTGTTCTAACTGTAGATTGGATTCTTTTTAGAAGTTTTAGTTTTTTAACTAAGAAAGCCCATGGCCATGGCCATCGACAATGTCTTTTTCCACAAAGCCACTGCTGCAAGATCTGAAAAAAGACCAAGAGTCCTACGGCGAACGCTTCGTCGAGCTCTTGTTGTGCTATCTGGATTATAGTACAGTCCGATACGGCAGCCATGACAATGTCAGCCTCTTCTTCCACCACTCCAAGCTCCACTTTCTCGCCAGAAGATGAAGAAGCCTTTACCAATTGGTCCTTTTCACCCCACGAATTCATCATGGGGCACAACCGAGAGGCATCATCCTGTTTCGAAGACAACTACGAAATGGGAGCATTAGTCGGCGAAGGAGGCTTTGGCAAAGTCTACAGTTGTATCCATAAGGCGACCGGTCAAGAACGGGCCGTCAAAGTAGTACACATGAACAACAGCATGAAGCAGAAAGCCGTCAAACGAGAATTCAAGTTGTTGGCGCAATTGGATCATCCCAATTTGATCAAAACATATGAATTGTTGCATGATAACAACAACGAGAACAACTATTGCATTGTGACGGACTTGTACCAAGGCGGAGACTTGTTTGAGCGTGTCCATGTTCACGGACATTTGCAAGAAGCAGAGGTTGCAGTGGTGATGCAACGATTGCTCTGTGCCATTCATGCCTGTCACCAACAGCAGATTGCCCATCGAGATGTCAAATTGGAAAATGTCTTGGTTCCACAAGGACAAGGCGACTATTCCAACCTCAAACTGATTGACTTTGGATTGGCCAAAGAATGGAATGAGAAAAATGACCACAAACAACTGCTACAACCATTTGACGACAGTATTGGCAGTCCTTCGTACATTTCTCCACAAATCATTGAAGGACAGTACAGTTACAAATGCGACATTTGGGCGTTGGGAGTCATTGCCTATGTACTCTTGTGTGGCGAACTGCCCTTTGGACCGGCCACCGATCCACAACAGACCATTCGCAACATTACGAATAGTGGAGACAGTATTTCCTTTGATCGCCCACCGTTTTATGACGTGAATCCCTCTTGTCTTTCATTTGTACGGCAACTCTTGACTCATAGAGAAGACGAACGACCGGATGCCATTCAAGCTTTGCAGCATCCGTGGCTATTGCAATTGCAATTATTGCAGCCACCACCCATCATGATCCAATCCAAGCAACAACGCAACAGCATGATGACACTCGAAAAGGACATGCAAAAAGTCCTCAAAGCACTGCAACGATTTCGCAGTCATCATTGCAAATGGAAACAGGCCGTGGCAGCATTGTTGGCAGCTCAGTTTCTGTCACAAAATGAACGAACCGACACGGTCTTTCGGGCACTCGATCCATCTGGCAATGGACACGTGCAACTACAAGATCTTCACAAAGCATTTGCCATGTATTGTGGTGTCAATGGGACACTGGAGGATCTACAAGAACTGCTCCTGCCCATTACTACATGTACCAACTCGACGACGACAATGAGATATTCGGAATTGTTGGCCATTTGTGCCTTGGAACAAGCGGCCAAACAACAACAAAAGAATTCTAGTAGTAAAAAGAAGAATCTTCTTCCAGCAGTCGGAGGAGGAGGAGAGTGTTGTTGTGTCGAAGCGGTCTATCGATATTTGGACCCGGATCACAAGGGGTATATTACCGCGCTCGATTTGCAGAGGGGGTTGCGATTGGAGCCAGATACGTGGGCGGCCCACACGGGGACTCGCATGATGATTGCGCAAGTCAGCAGCAACAATAACAGTCAGGTCATTTCTCAAGAAATGTTCCAGCAGACCATGTTGGGCAAACGGGCTTCTTCCTCCATGAAATTATTGCCATCGTGGACCAAAAACATGGGCAAGTTTGTGGATGATCTATGGTCGACGAGCAAGCAATAATACATAGAGAGGCGCACACACGGGCGGTTTCCACGAGATGCTGCATTCTATCACATATCATACATGCTCCTGTATATAGTGTACTGCACGGCACATCTGTTCGAACGTTCCAGCTTTGGAGGCTTCCTTGATTCACACCCCCATGCAAAACATCATGAAGATCGAGTTTGACTTTTTGATGCTCCTGTTGAAAGGATACCGTCAGAGGCGATTCTGCATGGTCGGTACAACAGTGAAAACTGTGATCCCTCGACCCTGCTACACTACTGCATGCTCGCGATGATAGGCTGGACGAAGGACGATATATCAGAGCTCCTCCACAAAAAAATCTAGTATGAAGTAAAAGACCGAAATGGTTCACTGAGGACTCGGTTTTAGAGCAGTTTCACAATTCAATGATAGTGGGTATGGGATTCGTGTGGCTTGATCAAATTGCTATTCCTTATTGATCTACGTCCTCTAGTCTATAAGATCAAATCGTCTTTCTCGCCGTGCAGTCAATTGTACACCTAGCTACTCAGTGCCAGCTAGCTAGCACCAGTTAGTGCCAAACTTACTTGTGTGAGATTGGCAAATCGTCCGCCAATCGGGCGAACAACATCGTCTCGAAAGTACTCCGCGTCGAATAAAAACTTCTCGTAAATGGATCCAAGAGGAGGCAAAGGGTCGAAAAAGACATGGCCGGCCAATGTTGAGATTTCAAATGAAGTGAACTCTTCGTGTGTATAGGCGACAATGGTCATGTTCAAATAGCTGGTTGGAAAGGCCATCTGCAGCAGTTCGTTGAAGTAGTCCACTTCAGCAATGAACAGGATGCTCGTCGCATTGCTATAGGAGCCCGTGACGTTGACCGTTGTGGAGGTGTCCTCGTCGGATGTCGCGTTATGCTTTTCCCAGACAAACCAAGAGCCTACGTTGGACGATATATTGAGGTGTTTCAATGGTAGGAGCTTGTTCAACTGCAGGTGACGACCACGCAAGTGCTCTGGACCTTGAAGCAGATGACGGCTGTTGCCAGAACCCAAGGCGTACCTGACTGAAACATTGAAGGTATGACTTGCCGGCATGGTAGTCGCTGGATCGTTCTTCGAAGGTGAGGCGGTTGGACTTGAATTGGCAAAAAAGTCGGATCTCCCACTTGCAGTTCTAATCATTGGTGGCTGATCAACATTGGAATTGCAGTATCCACTTCCACACATAGTGGCAGTCGCTGTCACGGCGACAAGAACCAACACGATTACAATTGCAAAGCAAAGCCGCCGTCCAACTTTTGTGCGCGTATCTGGAATACATTTGTCCCAAACGGTTTCTTCCATGACAACTGCATTGACGGGCTCAGGACCTGGTTCGACCAATTCAGCAGTGGCCATGAATGCTCCGTCTACGTTGGTCGTGACTGCTTCATCTCCATTGATGTTGGTGTTGTCGTCATCTTCGGATTGACCTTGCGTAGCGGACTGATCAGTTGTAGCGTCGGTGGCCGCTGCTGGGGTGGTCGTTGCATTTTCGATTGTCGCAGTTTCCATGTTGCAAAACGAATCGGGGTTTTCGATAACGGGTGGATCACACCGCTGTCGTCGAACAGGGTGTTCTGGATGACGTTGTGGTCGAGATAATACATGAACAGCACCTGGATGCAATGATGAACTTGTGGGGCCTGCGAAGGAACCTTTCAAATATTGCATGTCCTCTGGGAGCCAGTCGGGGTGTCTGTTGCGTCCGCCATTCTCACTTCCGGGCAGTTGGTTCTGGCTGATCGATGAGGCGACATCATTGGCTACAAAAGAAGACGTTGGGGGGTCCATTGTCTCGACACGCAGCGGTTTCTTGTGTTTGCGTCGTGTTGTGTAAGCAATCCTGTGTGTTTTGTCGATTCAAAGCTTGGTCAGAAAATTGGTTTTCTCTCGAACTAGGACGTCAAAGCTCGAAGTCGCGTTAACTTTTTTGTGATCGGCTGCATTCTGAGCCCGAAGGCACTCAACTACACAAGTCTACCGAACTCGCTGACGGAACATGACAAACGCTCGCACAACCACACGATGGCAGCGGCGGTAAAGTGAGGGCAAACTGCTGCCGTGACTCGTGATCACCGACCGGCTGAAACGGTAACGCAATTTGAGCGTGGAAACCATGTCTCGGCACGATATAAAATGGAACCATATCGATTTCATACGGTAACGGTACCTGGGTATCGGTACCGGTAGAGGTGCTTACGTTGCGGACCTCCATGGTTACAACCACTGACGTTGATTGGGTACGTCGTACCAGTACCAGTACTGTACCAGTACTGTAGAGGTGCGGGCCCGGTGATGGCGACCTACGTACCGACACGACGCTCCAACCGTGAATGAAAACTCATTCAACCAAATGGTCGTTTCAGGGGCTCGTTCCTTCGTCTTCGTCTTCGAACCTTCCGGCGCCACCTTCGTCCTCATCGACTTCGTCGTCCTCATCGCCTTCCTCGCTACTGTCACTCATCTGTATACCTGACATATTCTGAAGTTGTCGAATAGATTGCTCAAGGTTGAGGCGTCTCTGTTCTAAAGATTCTGGGCCGGTGGTAGCCGCAACGAGTTCAGCATGTTCATGTTCCAACCCCATTCTATGCGAAGAACCGGCTCCCCACCAACTACTGACACTTCCTCCAACCCTGCCTTTGAAACTTGACAAACGGCGCGAGATGCCTGACTCTCGACCCGATTCTCGTCGTTTCTTTCTCTTTGATGACCCCGACGTGTGGTAACTGGGTCGTCGAGTCACGCTCATCATGCCACGCCTCAAGGATGAACCAAAGTCGTCCAACTCCGAGCTCATGCCATTCAGGCTCGAATTTAAGCGGACAAAGCTGGAGCCGTCCACGCCCACGTCCAAACCGCTAATGTTGCCTCCTCGTTTTCGCCCTACGGCTTCTCCCACCGTTGCAAAAGTCGACCCGACGTATCTGCGATTCCAGTACTTTGGAAGCATGATTGGGAGCAGGATAGTCATACTCCCTACACACACGATAATGGTGCTCATCAAGTACCAACTTGTTGGGTGCGAGTGCACCACGAGCATGATGGGCCCACCCAAGCACAACGTTTCGGTGAAGCTGGCCAAGGACAGCGCCAGGTAGTAGGATTCGGAGAATTCTGTCGGTAGATTGCGTGCCTTCCAGGCTTGATACAGAGCCACTAACACAACCATACAGTTGGCCGTGAACATGATGCCCACAAAGAGAAAGGCAATATTGTTGTCCGGTCTGCACGTCCCGTAGGACTCGATACTACGACCGAATCGATCGTAGGAATCCACTTCAACTCGGTGGTATCGAAAAGGAGCTGCAAAGGTGACACACAACAGCATGGTTACGTTGAGGGTCATGAGGATTGCAAATGGCATTTGCACATCCTTCGCATCAACGCGAATTCGTCGCATCCCTCGTCCCGAATTCATGAGCTGGTTGAGACGGTAAGTCTTGGCAAAGACTGCCGAAAACGCCGTCACAAACCCCAAAAATAGCAACCACAGCTGCGACATGCAGGCAATATCCATGACACGATCAGGACCCAAGCTGGTACTGGCTGGTGGTAAACTCGCCGGAAACACGTAGAGTGACATGATCAAAGTCCCCACACAGAGCTGTCCCAGGAAAATGGGCTGGAAGAAAGCATGAAACGTGAGCCACATGCATGCTGCCATAATACACACCATGGCTTCTCCCACACTCTCGACTACTTACCTGAGAAGCCCTTACTACAAATACATTCCGTCGTCGAATAGTCCACGCCAAGAATCCCACCGATGCCGCCAGCACAATCGATCCCAAGACATATCCCGCAATTTTGGCCCCGGTCGGGAGCAAATTCAAATTGCCGTCAACGGGCGGCAACGACGGTGGAACATTGGTAGTATTATCGTGATACACAAAGGGCGCCCGATGATCAATGGGAGCATCTCCTCCCACGACAGCCGCCAGTTTGGATTCGAATCGAATTGTATCGGTGGTCGTGCGTTCGTCACTTAGTAAAATGTAGTCAATGCTATAGCGCATTCCTTCTTGATGGCGTGTTCCCGTCCGGGGATCAAACGAGACATGTCCCGAGGCGCCATGAAAGTTGGTGGTGGTGACGAGTTTTTGATAAAACTCGGGTCCGGTAAAGAGTGGTTGTAATATGGTGGAAGTGGTTGTTTTGTTGGTTGTCGTTGTATTATGGTTTGTGGTGGTGGTTCTTGTCATATTACAGGCCGTCAATCCCAGGGCCACCATGGCATCAAAAATGGAATTGGTAAATCCCGTGGGTCGATATCGTGGAAATTCATATCCCTCAAAAATACTGGGATCGCCATGTATATTGATAAATTCCTGTTGCAATTGGGGATTGAATGCCATTTCTTCCAATGCGTCTTCCAATGTTTGGATGAGTTCAAAATGGATATTCAGTGTTCCAATCCCATGCAATGCATGTGCCAAATGCGATTCCGTGGCGGCGTCGAGTGCAAATGCCGTTCCAGTCCATTTCTTTTCTTCTGCTGCCATCCACGCAAATTGCGGCGTTCCAATAATCCCATAATTGTAGGCGTGTCCAAGAACTTGTTTCCAATTGTGCATAATGGCAAACACGTGTCCATGGTGTAATTGTGCCATGTGCTCGGCAATTACAAGTTCGACACAACACTTGTCGTACGGATACGAATACAAGTGAATGCCATATTGTCGGGCATATGACTGCAACGATGCATGATAATTGACGCCCCAACTGTCTTGAATATACAGACATGCCAAATGGGTGACACCAATATCGGTGTAATAGCGAATGGCCGCTTTGGCATCTCCATCATTGGTGGCAACCGTGCGGGCAAACATGAAATTATCATCCAGAGCGGCACTGGTACTGGCGCCACTGATTTGTGGAATTTCCAATGCGCCCGATAATGTCGAGAGAGGTTTGGAAACGGATGACCAGTAGGCTCCAAAAATGGCAAATGGGTGGAGGTGGGGTAGAGTGGATTGTTGTTGTGATTGTAATTGTAATTGTCGTCTTTCTCCTCCTCGGGGATTGGTACTACTAGTAGTTGTATGCTGTGGCATGGACGTACGGGGTGGTAAAGTTCGTATGGGAGTATTGGTTCGGGGTGGTGCCGTTCTTGGTGGTTCGACACTGGCAAATGCGCCATTTCCATATGTAGATGCACCAGTAGAAGTAGCTTGAGTGGGGGTGGAAGATGATGCAGATGATGGTGTTGCTGTGGGTTGACTTGACGGAGGTTCAGTGGGTTGCTCTGATGTAGGTTGTTCTGAACTTGGATGTTCTGAAGTTGGATGTTCTGTAGACAAAGGTATGGGAATTGTAGTTGTTGTATGTTCTTTGGTAGTTGTTTCTTCTTCTTCTTCTTGCTGCTGCAACTGTCCAGTAGCCATGGCCAATTGCTTGGCCGCCTCCAATCCACTCCATTGGGAATCTCGAAATTCAAAGGTCCAATAAAAGTCACACTCGCCTAAAACTTGGGGCAACTGCGGTAGAATGTCGCCTCGTCGTTCATTGAAATGCTTGTAGCCCAAAAAGGCCGCAATGGCATTGTACAGAAACGTCTCGTCAATCACTCGCTCGCCTTCGTCCGTAGTATACGTCAAGTACTGAATCGCCACGACGTGACCCAATCGTTGTCCATCCTGCAACTCCACCACATGCGAGTCGTCACGTTGGCGTTTCACCGGCATCACAGTATTGGCGTTACTGCTGGAGCTCATCATTGTGAGTTGCAAAAAGTCAACTTACTTATTGCTGTAGTATCAATAATAGACTGCTCTTTCAGTTCAGTAAAAACTTGAGCTGGAATTTAGTTGTGGTTGTGGAAGCCCTTCAGCGCTAATAGCTACATGTAGCACTGGAGTAGGTAATAGTTTGGTGCCTCTCTTGATTGACTCTGTGTCGATCTCTTCATGACCGCAGTGATGAAGTGATCATCATGCAAGGAATGATGGACGCAGGCTTCCTGATCTTGTACAGTGGTCAAACGAATGCCAACAAGCAATAAGGCTCCGTCTTTATTAATTATTGGCCAGCCGTCTCATAAATCAGTCTCGTTTCAACACTCAGCTTGCTGTCAGCTGGCCAATGAACACTGTAGTCATGTGAATGACTGCTGGTATTCTTTGGTTTAAGGCTTTCAGGCCACCTTCTAACATAGTATGTGCCGGTACTGGTACCACCAGTACTTGGGGAGCTTTGATGATAAATCAGTACATTCATAGGGAATTACTAGGTCCTGGCCACACACATAAGTCACGAGTTGGCAAGGCACGCAAAGACAGGGTGAGGCACGCGCTTGGTCAAGATCGCAAAAGCACGAATGAAAGGCAGGGTATAACTTACCATGGGATGCAACTCGTGATTCCAAGCAGAAACCCTCCAACTCAGACAGAGAACCCTCCATCAGCCAATGTCAGAATCGCAAATCACTCTGGAACACAAGAGATGGCAGTATGAGACAATGGCAGGGATAGCAACGAACTTCAAACACAACAGAGAACTCACCTCGACAGCTCACGCCATCGGTGACAACAACGAAACATCGCACCCACCATGGTTGTGCCATTTTCCAGAAATTGTGAAGGAGTGACGACTTGTTTCTCATGAAAACTTGAAGGGATAGGCGCCAAAGTCGGCAGTGCTTTAATCGCCAAACAAATACAAACACCTGCTTAGGAATGTTCATCATGCACGTCAATGTGCAAGGCCAGTAGTGTGTACGTGCATCCTCTCCGATGAGCTACTCACATTTTCATGATGCTTGCAAAAATATTGGTTGGAAATCGGTTGTTTTGGTGGTCCCAAGAGCCTTTTGCGACATGGAAAATGGATTCAGCACCAAAATGGATTGTTCTTCTATCGCTGATTGTAGCACTCCCATTTAAATAATAGCATCGCTGCATCGCTATTTTGCAGGTACTCACAGAATTTTTTCATTGTGACCGTACTAGCGAGCACTTTCGTAATTAGCGACCATGTCGCAACAACGTAGATCGTCGCTACAACGTAGATCGTCGCTACCCCATGGCTACAATCCCCTCGATATTCGCTCGCAAAATGGTCAAAGTTCGCAATATCACAACAATGGCAGCACAAACTTGTACCCACATTTGCATTCGTACAACCCCAACTGGCAGTATGATACTTCCGGCAGCTACCCAATCTCTGGTTACGTACCACCCGTGTATCCTTCGGCCTATGCAAGGAACTTTCCCTACAGGTCCCATCATCACGTACAGCCCGAACACCCCCCCCACCCATGTCACACAGCATCAGTCACAGCCCCAACAGAATGACGAAGTCAAGCAAGCATTCACTCCAAGGTTTGGGGAATATTATGAAGATTCCAGGTGCTACCCATGCGCAACCAAAGAAGAAGCCCATGCTCAGCTCGTGCATGCATACGGTGGATTTGTCAATGGAAAGCAATGCATTCGAGCAGACGGCACGTACACAATGAAAAAGGACAAAACTAAAGTGTTCAAGTTCTGCTGTCGTGTTGGAGAGGACGATCACAACCAGCAACGCTGTCCTTGGAGAGCCCAGGCAAGAGACCTAGGCGATGCTGCCTTTGCATCCAGTCGGTTCCGGAACTATGTTCGAAGAAACAACAACGAACACAATCATTCACTGCAACGCAAACCAAGTAATTACAAGGAACAGCACGGGATTACTCCATCACTGCTTGTATTGGTGAAAAGCTTTATTGACTCTGAGATTCACCGCGGACGTTCCATCCTACGTATCACAGCAGACGAAGCAATGAAATCTGTCACAGAGAAGGTCACATCCAACAACACTGGTAAGTACATCGATCACCGACATCACATCTTCGACAGAGAGCCCCGAGAACATCTGATCAGGCAACTACGTAACTACATTGCGAATAAACGAGAATCCTTCATCAGAAGTCAGCTTTTTGGACAAAGCAGTCTGCGAAACAACGATTCGCTCATGAGGGTGTTGGCACAATGGAAGCTGAACGTACCGGCTGCCTATGTTCCCCGAAGTGACTACAGAACAGCTGATGAGCTTGCAACTGCCTTGGGAGCAGCTTCAACGTATCAGATGTACATCATGGACCTGGGTAGTGGCCAACTCGTGGATCGATATCGGAAAAAAGTTCTGACGCACGAAGCCATTAAACAGCCTGACTTTGAATCAAGGATCGAAGGTGCATTTGTGGTGTTCTCTCCTGCTGGGCTATTCCAATTGATGCATCTAGCATCCAGACGCAAAGGTACCAGGCAACTCTGCTGTGATGGTACAGGTGGGATGATACGTGACCAGAGTGCTCTCATCACAGTCGGCAGTGTCTCAGTGAAGCTACGATCTGTGAGGGATGAAGTCACTGCATCGTATCGATCTATTCTGTATCTGCGATCTGGAGGCGAACGATTCCATCCTTACTGCCTTGTGCTGTATGCCATGCGCATACTGTGCCATGACTGCTTTGCTATCCCATTCGAGATTGATTGGGGCACGTCCGATGATGCTGATACCTTTATTTCGGCACACGTCTTCTTCAAAAACCATCCAAATTTGTGCGATGCCGACACAGATAACGTGACAGCACCTGTCGAGGACTTCACTGATGACATGACACAAGAAGAACCAATCACAGAGTTTTACTTGACCCAACCAGATGCAGAGTCGGTCGAAGATACCACCAGCGTTAACAGCGATGACGATTGCCTCCAAGGAGAGGCTGTTCTCAATTGCTTCTTCCATGTGGTTCAAGCTTTTGCTCAGAAGAAAGGCTACGCGAAGAAAATAAAGGATAAATCCTTCGCAGCAGCCAAGACCGATGGCAGAGTGGACAAGAACACTGCCTATTCTCATGTCTGCAACATCGCGAAAAGCAAGACTGTGGAACAGCGACAGAAGCTAACAGAATTGTACCTGAACGACTGGCGACTACGTGGTGAAGACGCAGCTGCAGACCATTTCGAAAAAGAATATTGCCATCATCCAAGATGGAATTGGAACTACTATTGTTCTGGTGAAGTCGGTGTATATCCTTCCAACTGTCCAAACGAGAGTTTCAATCGGCACGGGATCAAAGGCATCTGTGCCGATTGCCCCAAGAATGCCTCACTATGTTCTTTCTTGGTTCACACAGCTACCAAGCTGCTCAAAGAAGATGCATTCTCACGTGGGGACCCATGCACTATTGAAATTCCTCGCTCTTGTTCTGTTATTGCAGTTGGCCTCTGTGGGTTTTTACAAGAATCTGTGGACTTGGTGGAGCTTGGAACAGATGAACAAGGACGTCCTGCCAGCTGGTTGGCAAATTTTCGATTCAAAATTGGGTGTCCTCTTGACTCCAGGCGATTGGATCTTGTTCGTGCTTCCCTTGATGGCGACATACGACCTTTCATCAAAAAGATTTCCGATGGCTACTTCGATCCACCTCCAGCCCAACTTGCTGATGACATGATCCTGGCAACGTCGACAGTGTGTCACCTACAACGAAAGGGTGGCAACATTGTGGGTGATTGCGAAGATTGTGTCAAACACTTGGGGTACTCGTGTCCGGGAGCAATATATCTTCGCAGCAAACACAATTTGCTGGATGCTTCCCTTGAAACCCTACGTAAAACGTCGGCCAATGCACGAGGTGCTGTATCGAAAGCAAGTGCACGCGGCTCAACAAGGAAGATGTATCAGAGTGGTCTGTCCAGTCACAAAAGACGTTGTGTACCCAAGATGCTAGAGACACTCGAGGCTTATCTGGAGAGTCTCAGCAGGCCTCAGATGATCCGTCTGATTGGGTATCTGCACTTATTTCCGTACAAGACCACCCTTGCCGATTGGGTAAAAGAAAAGGAAGTGAAAGATCTGTTGGACGTTCTTGTTTCTTTCCATGACAACCCAACTAGATACCGACAGATGCAAGCAAGCAATTTGCTTTCGACCTCTAAGTCGTCGTTTGAGGTAGTAAAGAAGCTCGCAAGCAACATCAAAGAAGCCCCTGTGGCGTCCAATGAAAACAAACGTAATACGTAATATAGAAGCGTCTTACACCTACAGGTATCTTTTCATCGTATTACATCTATCTTTTAATCGCTCGCGTCCCGTGGACTTCCTATGGATGCTGAATGCTGAAGATGTGACTGCTCGTGGACGTAATATTTCGAAAGAAAAATTCATTTCATGTAGTAGATTTGCATTGGTCGATAGCTGGAGGCGCCATTCTGTGCATTGGTTCTTCCAATGCATATGATACGAAATTTGTTGCTGTGCGACTCCATGCAGAGCGGCAAAGCCTGAGCTTTTCAGCGATGGTTTCTGCTGGGCATTCAGCTTGGTGTCACAACTCACTCGAGCGGTATTGCAGCAGCATTGAACTAAGCAGACTAGTACTACGATGACGGAAGAAGGAACACCAACTCGCAATGGTGATGTGGCCTATATTAACTACGTGGAACCCCCCATCAGGACCAACAATGATGGTAAAATTTACCACACCCAGGAACAGTACACTGAAGACACCGAGCGCTGCGAGCATCTGTTTCAGTTGCTGATTGATGAACATGGGTATGATATGATTGGGAAGGCGAAGTACCGTCTGCACTTGATCAATCAACATTGTCGCAAACTGGGGTATCCTCCTATGTACGTGTATGATTACGAGTGGGTTGGCTGCTACCCCATCCAGTTCTTGGCCAATGAGGGCAAGAACCCAAAGAGTCGCCAGCCCCTTCCTCCATCCAACGCGAACTATGACCATGACGTCTTCAAGCAGCTGGTTGTTATGACGCTTGTTTTCCCCCATCCGGTCACTGATCCCGAGAACACTGACCTCTTCACCACCAGATTCGACATTGATCCAGTGGTGTTCAAAGACCGGTACTTGCGTTATCTGGATGATTTGAATCTCTTCACGGAGGGAGTTGATGAGGAAGACATCCTCCCCACTCCTCATCGGCAGATTGTTGTTGACTCCGGTACTCCAAGTCCCATGGCCACTGCCCCCAAGGTGCTCTTTGATGTGGATAATGACGAATTTGGTGGCTCCGACGTGGATGATCCCACCGATTTGGATGACGAGGAAGATGATGACGACTACGATGACATCTTGATGCGCTCTGGCAAATGGGGGCCTTTGACACAAGTTGCCAAAGACTCAGATGATGATGTTGATGATGATGATGATGTTTCTCCATCTCCCCCCAAGAAGGCGAAGACCGAAAGCAGTGCTGAAGCCCCCAAAGCAGACTCCCAGGAAGAAGAAGACACGGAAGGAGACACCGAAGGAGACACCGAAGGAGACACTGAAGGAGACACCGAAGGAGAATCCCAGGGAGACCACGAAGAGGAAATCAAGAAGCCAAAGTCCAAGTCGGGTAGTGATGCCAGCAGCGAGGATGAAAATGAGGAAGAAGAGGAAGACAACGATGATGACACCGAAGAAGCCACGAACGATGGAGATAACAGCGAAAAGAGTGACAGTCAGAATGGTGGCATCGAAATTCTTTGTACCGGCAGTTTCAGTTATTAGGAGACCATTGCGCAGCTTACCCTTCTCATCAGACATTTTACTGCACAATGGTGATTTGCTGTGGCCTCACTGGTTCATGGTGCTCTGTGCGGGGTTCTCTGTCTGTGTTGGAAGGTTGCTTTTGAATCATGAGTGTGGTCGAGTATGCTTTACCACTGACAGCTTGGAGTGACGTATGAGGTTGTTCGAAGCATGTTTCAGATTCAAATCCTGCTGGATCATACTGGTATACATTATATAGATATAAATCTTTCGATAGCCAGAATGTTTTGCCAGAATTAAGATATTTCCACATTCATACTGTACAGGAACACCTCATGTATCAGCAATCAGTACCGGTACGGTGCAGTACATGTTATCCATGCGAAGCTGGCATAATTCTAAATTCTGACGCAAAAGTCTAATTGAGCCTGCTACTAGTAGCTAGCTAGCTAAATTAGACTGTCACTCTTCTACTAGTAGATGCCTGCATTGACCGGGCACGGGGCGTGATGGCTGGAGGAATGATATTATGGGTTTTGAGACTAACGCTACATGCATAGCTAGCTAGCTAGTAGTAGATCTTGCTTTCCTTGTCAGACGCCTGTGGCAATTGAAGGGGCCAAAAGCGAGGATGGATTAGGAGATGATGAAGAAGCAGAAGCAGGCCTGTTCTGGCCAGCCAGCTAGCTGGCTAGTAGCTATCGTGCCCACACTCTAGGTAGAGGGCGGACGAGTAACAAACCACCGTCAGCATTCTTGGCGCAGGTTACCTCAATTAATTGTCATTCAATGGTCATGGTCTCTCTGTTCCATACCGTAGTACGGTACACAAGGAAAATGAGCAAGAAACGGGAGGATCCACCCGCCTGTCCTCCACAATGGAAAGCAAGCATGAAAGAATAGGATTGAATGATGGATCGAATCGAATCGAATCGAATCGAATCAATCCGACGTTGGCAACACATACTCTGTGCCGGTGGCTGGTTCTTGCCAGACACTCCAGGCGTCCGTCGAGGGGGCACACTACTGTACAAAGGCAGGACATCAATACAGTACAACTAGCTATTGCAGCCTGTGAGAACTTCTGTATACTACGTACATGCACGAAAAAGGCAGGTGACACAATTAAGGTTTAGCCAAACGAATGGTTTTTCGACATTGCTTTGGCTTTCTCAAAAGCAAATTCACAACGAATACAAGATGATTCTTGTTCAGAGATGTAATGGAGGTAAAAAACATCGATTTAAAATATAGCTAATGTAGAAATGTAACGGGAGGCAGGCCTCACACACATCCAGATATCTGAACCGTCCCATATCGACGGAGACTCGATCTCTTAAAGATTTATGGGAGCTTCAGGAGTTCGCAGGCTGGTTCTATACCTGCAGCGCAACGATCGTTTGCTTCTTAGATAAACCCGGGAGGTGCATAGCGTTGTGGTCCTTGGTTGGAGTTTAGATTGAGCATGTTCTGGCCAGTGCGAGGGATATTCATGGGCTTCAAGTTTCGATTGAATATATCACTGTAGCTCCCCACTTCCAAAACAGCATCTCGAAGCATCCGCTTGTACTGGGTGCCAAACAGCAGGACCTCTGGCATCATGCTGGAAGTTGCTTGGCCAATATCTTGCTCCTCCGCAAAGATTAAAGCATTGACAATCCAGTACACCCATGCAGACCAGTCACGGGCATCTTGATTGGTGGCCATGCAGAGATTGCTGTTGTGTGCAGAATCGTAAAAGTAGGGCGCGGAAAAGGAATAGCCTAGTCCTGTGGTTGGTTCCTTGACACGGTTCTGAAGACTGCTTGTCACTCCAGCCAACACATCTATTTCACCACTTGCAAGCAGAGCAAAGCCATCTTCGGGCTCCTCCACCTCTATGAACTGTATATTGTTTGGTTGGCCTTGAAACAATGAAGTGGATAGAGCTCGGCAGAGATCAATCTCGAATCCCTTGTAAGCCACAGAGGAAACATTGCTATTCACTTTGGAAGCAAAACCAGCCCTTTCTGCATTGGCACTAATGCCACAGCGAACACCCCCTCTTTCCACGATGGATTGGAGATAATCACCGAGTGGAATCTTGTCCTCCTCTCTCACATTTTCTCCAACGGCACCAAATGGGTGCGAAAGGAGTAATCCTGTGGTTCCTCTGTTGATCTGGTTGATTGTGGCCCGAGGAATACCCTTGGCCATGTGGCGATCGTAGATTTCACCATAGTTTCCCACAGCAGCAATGGCATTTTGAAAAATGTATTCATACTCAGTGCCAAAGACTTGGGTGGCAGGAAACATGTGGGCAGTGGCCTGAGTGATGTTGTGTAGCTCTGCCACGTTGAGGGAATCCATAATGGCACCCACAAAGGCTGTGAATTCTGGATCGTCTTCTCTGGTAGCAAGACTTGTGGGTTCTTTAGAAAAGTAGCGTTCACTACGCACGTAGCTTCCATTGTATCCTCCAGCTACAACCTCCTCTGCGCTCAAGGTTGCGAAACTTGCAGTAGCAAGGACGTTGCAGCCAGCCTTGACAAACACAGTTTCAACATCACTCACAGTTTCCACTGGTACAATAAAGCGTCTTGGTAGGGTAGATTGCACTAGACTTTCATAGGTTGTGTCCTGTCCAACACAAACCTTCAAGCTCTGACACTCATCGAGATGTTTGAAGTTGTCTTCTACACAGCCAACATGAAATGGATCACCAGCAACTCCCATTCCTATATATAGACAAGGAGGGGTAAAAGACAAGCCAGTCTTGACTTGAGTCTGGAGTACATCTCGTTCCATGGTATGTGTGTAAAAAGAACTGTACAAGTCCACTTGCCCTTCTGCAAGAGGCGCAAACAGAGATGTCCGATTCTTGTATTCTTGAAAGTCCATCTTGTCCTTAGCAGCCTCTGGTCCAAAGATGGCGGCCGTCACTGCAAGGCACTATGTCAAGAGAGTAATCGATGGGATGGCAATTTTGTGAGGTTGGGTCAAGCAAGTGTACTCCATACAAGACAAGCACGTGTTTGAACTTACAAAGCTGTAGCTGAATCCAGCAATATCTTCAATGTTAACCTGACGATATTCACATCGCAAGGTACCTTCCTGCTTGATTCGTTGGAGAGTTGAAAGGCTGCCATTTTCATTTTCTTTGTTTCCTGTGAGACCAATCTGGAGTGATTCTTCGCCGTCAAATACTCCAAGGAGTCCCAAGACAAGAGCCACAATAACGGCCATCATGACCAACACGGCCAATGCAAACCATGCTGCGTGTCTCCTTTGGCTGTCATCATCGCGGACAGCAGTTCCTGTGATGGCAAGCTGAGAGATTGGCTCCATTGCTGGGTGACACGATGCGGCTTGGGGTGTCCTGCGTTGCGTTGTGGCATCTAAATGTACAAGGGTACCCTGCAATAGTGGTGGTGGTGGTGGTGGTTCGCTACTAGTAGGAGAAAGCTCGGGTGCCGTTTCGGGACCCCCACCAATAAAGTTGTCCTCCCCATTGGGACGAGTAGTGTAGCTCGAAGTGAAACTCGTACCCACTGCATACGCCCCCGGGTGTGACGTAGGTTGCTGTGCCTGATTCGAGGGTAAGGGCATGGGTGTTGGCAAGGCGTTATCCAATGGTGATTCCACAGTACCGGTAGTCTCTGCATTGGCTTCTTCCTTAAGCTTGTTGTTGGTGGTGGGAGGAGTCCGTTTCTCTACAACTGCTGCACTCAATGGACCCTCTTCCGACGTCAGCAACACGTCTAACAACTTCTCCATGTTTCCTCCAGCCTTGGAATTTACATCCGCGGCATTGGCATTGGAGCTACCAGTCTTCTCGCAATCGCTACTACCACTAGCGCTCATGCGCGACGGCAAGTCGATATCCGGTGGTGATTCCACAGTACCGGTAGTCTCTGCCTTGGGTTCTTCCTTAAGCTTGTTGTTGTTGGTGGGAGGAGTCCGTTTCTCTACAACTGCTGCACTCAACGGGCCCTCTTCCGACGTCAGCAACACGTCTAGCAACTTATCCATGTTGCCTCCAGCCTTGGCATCCACATCCACGGCCTTTGCATTGGAGCTACCAGTGTTCTCGCAATCGCTACTACCACTAGCACTCATGTTGATGTTCACTGTGTGATGTGCTAAAGAGCATCCCTGGTTTGTGAGATTGAAAATCGCAAGATCGACGTCTCCTTTTGGACTGCAGAGATTGATTCAATGGATTCATTCTGCGAGACAGGAACGGTAGCCCCTGATGAGTACCATACTAGTACTACGTACTTTTTCAAAGTTTCTGTACCTGGATTTAACGTATGTCAAAAAATGCATGGACACAGCATCTAGCTTGAAGCTTGGTCGAAAGCCGACTCGACTCTTCAGAGCACTCAGTCGTTCCAATTGTGTTGCTGCCACGTCCCGTACCAGGTACACCGGACTAGTAGACTCGACTAGACTACAGAGCACCAGGCACCAGCATCAGATTCTTTGGTCCTCTGGCTTTTTGACTGGACTGGACTCGACTCTGACTTGACTCGGCTCGACTCGACTCTGACTCGACTCGATAGGCTCCAGGCGACACAGACCACACGTAGTCTACTAGAATAGCTAGTCCCTCTGTCATCTATCTTTGCCAGTGATCCTAGGTCTATAACACGAGAGGCAAGTCGAGGTCGAGCGTTGTAGCCGCCAAGCTGCGGCAGAAGTCGCGACATTTATTTGAGTGCCCCAAGTCAGCAGTCTTCTGGATTCTGGAACAATCAGATGCCGCTCAGAATCTTTCGCGTTCTCAAAAATTAAATGGTGGTTCCCTGTCCAATGCCAGAGCCAGTTCGCAAGAATTTAGTTTTTAGAGAAACCACCACGAATCATGACGTACTGGCAAGCAGCTACTGTACCGCTACAGTAAGCTTACCAGTACCAGCGAGCTCGCTTATTAATAGTTCCGATTTTTGGTATTGCATTCTCAGGGGCAGTAGCTGCTGGGGCAGCTCATTAATTTTTATGACTAAAATGAGTCTTCGGAAGCAGTTTCGGAAGCAGTTTCGGAAGCACAAACAAAGTTCAACCATGGACAGTAGTCTACTACTAGCTAGTAGTCCAGACTGTCCAGAGCTCTTGCTCTGACAACACCTGGAAACAGGCAAAAATATTTGAGAATACCAATAACTCCTAGCTGTATTGAAAGAACCCATCGACAAAAGCCTTCCTCGAGTAGTTCTCTCTCGCTTGAGTCAAGAGATACTAGTATTAAATTAGAGCGTTTTTTTAAAAAATTGTGTTCTCTAAGCCAATCTTTTACTTTGGCTGTTTTTCTCTATTGGATTTGATTGGATTGCATTGGATTAGATTGGATTGCATTGAATTACAGTTTACTATATAAATAACAGTACTATTTGGAATCCAATTCAATCCAATTCAATGCAATCCAATCCAATGCAATCCAATTAAATTTATCTTCTGGCAAAAATACGAATTTCGTTTTTTTAACTGATTTTGGCGAGTCTCACTACAGGGCTATTGCAAGATTTGCCCATCCCCCGGAAGAAGCCAAAAAGGAACATTAAGCATCGCCTGGATTTAACCAAGATCAACCCAGGCATGGAACCATTATTCCTATGACTGCCTCGGATGACTCTCTTACATTCGATATCCTATTCTTTAATTCAATTAACTCGAGGTCATAGTGAACGATATGGGAAAACTGACGTGGCGAGTTCGTATCGGTGGATCAGCGTTCCGATCAGCTTTCCGATCTCGCACTGGAGCTCACTGGTACAATGTGCGCACACAATGCCTTTTTCCCACCACAATTATTTGCACTACGCAGATTGTGGATTCTTCGGCTCTGCCACTACATGTACTAGCTATTTTTAAAATTGTAGGAAATGCTAGGAGTACATGTTTGTATGTAGCTATTAGTCGGCTTCTGAAGAGTTTCTTGGAGCCCAGCACGAACGACCAAAATAAAAGACCGGTAATAACTCCTGTACACTCATGTATCGTACTAAATCCCCACCAGTGGCCACAGGGTGCACATTCGCAGAGATATCTATCAACTCCCACACACACACGTCAGAGAAGCGGGGCAGAGCTGCTCGTTGAAGCTGCCGAGTTCCAAACAGCCCCACTATCAAGACATTGGTGAATACGAAGAACGATCGCGTGAGAACAGTGCGAGCAATTTATTTGGATGCAGCTGTAAAGAAGTCTTTGGCTTGCTAATAAAACCTCTGCAGCCAGATTGTTTTCGGAAGCCCCCAGTCTAGCTAGCTACTAGATCATTCATTCTTAGTAACATACATCATAAATTTTGCATCCGGCCGTACAAACGTACAAACAACTCAAATTTACAAAGTTTGCAAAAACAAAAAAACTCTTTGGAACAAGACCATGAAGCCGAGTATGAAGAGCATCGAAACCGCGGACGACTGGTCCGACAAGGATCACGATGATAACATGGACAAGCTGCAGGACAGCTGGAAGGACGACGAGGAGGTGGATTACCACCACAGCTCCTCTCACATGAGCAATCGCACGGACGACTCCACGTTCAGCGACAGCGGCCACGAGTTGGCCAAAGGAGAGACCCGAGCGGTGCTGGGATTGCGTGTGGTTGTCATTCTCGTGTTGATTTGTGCCGCCATTGCCATTACCCTCGTGGTCTGGTTCACCACCACCAAGACTCAGGACGACGACTTGGCGTCCAACTTTGAGGGTGCCGCCACGAAACTCCTCGAGAGTTTCCGTCAAATCGTCGACACCAAACTCGGGGCGGTGGCAGGACTCAGCGTCAGCCTTACCGCCTACGCGCGTGCCAATGGACAGGAGTTCCCCTACCGTACCTTTGCTTTGGTCCTGGAATGCAAATTGGGGAGACAGTTTTCTTAACAAAGAGGTGATAAAATTGTAAATTTCTTTTCATCAGTCCATGCCCAAATACATGAACTATGGACTGATGAAAAGCTATTTTGAATTTGGACCTTCCCCAGTCTCCTACAGGCCTCCCCATGGTTGCGCTTTGCTGTGCCATCCCAAGCCGCCATATCTAGGCAACTGTATCTCAGCCAAAACTCAACCTTTTTCAAAAATTTTTGCTTGGAATGATATCTACTCTTTTTGGAGAACTCAGAACTGTCTATTATCTTGAAGATAATAGGATTCCTAGAACACCCATATTCTAGGTGGGTAGCTTTACAGGGGCATATCTACCCGAAATATGGTGGGGCAAATCAATTTTGAGGTTTTTTTCATTTTTCTCATTTATTAATCTAAACATCTAAAATTAAAAAATTTGAAATTTTTTCCTACATGACACCACTTAACCAAAGGTACGGTACGTGACCATGAACGATTTTCAGCAACGCTCCGCATCGACACGCAGTTTGTCGGGGGTCCTCTTCTTTGAACTCTTGCCGTTCGTGTCCATCGAGAACCGCGAGACATGGGAAGAATACTCTGTCGCGAACAAAGGATGGCTCGACGAGGGGAGAGCCTACCAGAAATCGATTGGGATGGATCTGTTTGCACTGGCTGGGGACGAACTCAGTAGCAGTACCAGCCACAACGTCGACGGGGTCACGCGTCGTCTCGCCGAGTCGGAACTGAACTTTACCACTGGCGCTTCAGGGGACTCTCCCATTGCGGACAAGATTTGGATGTTCCACGAAGAGACGTTCGAGCCCGTTTCGGACTATTCCGAGGGCCCCTGGTTTCCAATGTAAGTACACTTTCAAGAGTTGCCTTGGTTTGCCTGCCTACCTGATTGCTTTCTGACCTGCACATGCATGTATGTCTATCTATGTCTTCCTTGCAGCTGGCAAAGTTCTCCCGTCCTCAAGGCACCCAGAGACCTGTCCAACTGGAACGTCCTCCACTTCCCCGCATATGGCAACTACCTGGCGTTCGCGGCAGAAACCGCACAAGCCGTCATTGGAGGCATGGCCACGTCACCACCCGGAGACATGAACCACAACGATCTCACGACCAGCTTCTTTGCCTACATTGCGAGCTACACGGCGGGAGAGCCCGTCGAATATGCCGGAGACCCCTTTTCCAGCTTTTACATTCCCGTCTTTGATACGTTTGACGAGGACCGCCAACTCGTCGCCGTCATTCTCGGAGTCCTCCAATGGGCAGACTATTTCATCGACGTCCTTCCTCCCAATCTCCCTCCTGTCGCGGTCGTCATTGAGAATACCTGCGAAGGAGCTTTCTCATTCGAAGTTAGTGCCGATGAAGTCACCTATTTGGGACCAGGAGACCTTCACGACGAACGTTACCAAGACATGACCCAGTCGTCCGGCTTCAATTCCGTCATCAAGCAAGGGAGTCTCGAACTGGGACTCAACCAGAGTTTGTGCGAATATACCCTTCACGTGTATCCCACGGAAGAGTTCCACAACGAATACAAGGACCACATGCCCCTCTTTATCACTCTCAGTGTGGCGGCCGTCTTTTGTTTTGTCGTCTTTCTGTTTCTCCTGTACGATCGACTCGTGGAACGACGCCAAAAAGTCGTTATGACCACGGCCACCCAGCAAAATGCCATTGTCTCGTCATTGTTTCCCTCCCAAATCAAGGACCGGCTCTTGGAAGCACAGGGAAGCGGTGACGCCAGCAAGGGCATGGCACTGTCGCAAAACGGTGATGCGATGGGCCGACCCTTGGCCGATCTCTTTCTGGAAACGACCGTCCTCTTTGCCGATATCAGTGGCTTTACCGCATGGAGCAGCATTCGAGAACCAACCATGGTCTTTACGCTCTTGGAGAAGTTGTACTCTGAGTTCGACAAGATCGCCAAGCGATGGCGCGTATTCAAGGTCGAAACGGTGGGGGATTGTTACGTGGCCGTGGCGGGGTTGCCCGAAGCCAATCCAAAGCATGCTGTGGTGGTGGCACGCTGTGCCGCAGACATTGTCAAGAAGATGAAGACCTTAACCCGAGATCTGGAAATCTCTCTGGGAGGAGGGACTGGTGAACTCGGACTCCGTGTAGGCATCCACAGTGGACCAGTAACAGCTGGAGTGCTGCGTGGGGACCGAGCCCGCTTCCAGTTGTTTGGGGATACCATGAACTGCTGTTCGCGCATAGAGACGAGTGGGGAAGCTGGTCGAATTCATTGTTCCATGGAAACTGCCGAGCTTCTCAAGAAGGAGGGCAAAGAAGCTTGGCTAGAAAAGAGGGCTGGCGGATGCCATTTGAAGGGACTGGGAGAGATTGAGACGTACTGGATCAACATCAACACAAGCCCAAGGTACGGTGATGGAAGCTCCCGCGAGTCCGAGTCGGATGCGGTTACTATGCAAGAGGGTGCTCTTTATGGCATGAACGAAAAGAAGCAACGATTGATCTTGTACAACGTTGACCTTTTGCTGAACCTGATGAAGAATGTGGTAGCCCAAAGGGGTACCGGTAGCAAGAAACAGGCAACGAATTCGACTATCAAGAGATCCTCCTCCCACGATGGTTCTACTCCTATTGAACCCAGGACCCTGCCTTTGGACGAGGTGGCCGAGATCATTCATCTGCCAGACAAGCCATCTGCTCAGCAGAACCCAGCCAACGTCGTCATTCCCAAGGAGGTGGAAGACGAACTGCGCGATCTCGTTACTACCATCGCTGGCATGTACAGAGACAACGCCTTCCACTCGTTCGAGCAGTAAGTTTCTTTTCGCCCATCCCGCTCATCCTGAAGTTTGCCCAGCTGCCTGCTTCTTACTCACATGGTCGACCCTTGGTCCTTGTCTTACAGTGCCTCCCATGTGTTGATGGCGGTTCACAAATTAATGAGCCGTATCGTGGCGCCAGTCTCTTTTAACCCCTCTGCCGTTAAGGACGAAAAGGAGATGTACTCTGCTTTGCACGACAACACGTTCGGTATCACAAGTGATCCAATCACTCAGTTTGCATGTGCCTTTAGGTAAGCCGCCAACTCTTGCTGAAGTGCTGCTAGCAGTGTTGTTACAGCCACGGTAGCTAACCATTGATCCTTGCACAGTGCGCTGATCCATGATGTCGACCATGTTGGAGTTTCCAATGCCCAGCTTGTCAAAGAAGGAGTCCCCATCGCCAAGCTCTACAAGGAAAGGAGTGTTGCTGAGCAGGTAAGGCTTACTCGTTGGTCCCTTCTGCTATCTCGAATTGTCGTCTCACCCATCGCGTACACGAATGCTTCAGAACTCGTTGGACCTTTCCTGGAATCTTCTCATGAGCGATCGGTTCACAAAGCTTCGTGAGCTGCTCTTTCCAACCAGGCAAGATCGTCTCCACTTCCGCCAGCTCGTGGTGAACTCTGTCATGGCAACGGGTGAGTTTCTCTTGGCGTCTCCTGCTCTTGTTTCTGGTGGGTGCTTGCTAACGTTTGCCGTGGATCTCTCCCTACCTCCAGACATTGTGGACAAGGATCTCAAGCAACTGCGAAACAACCGCTGGGATGTGGCGTTCAAGAAGGGAGAAGGGGCCGATCATGTAGATGAGAACCCCAAGGATGAGGTCAATCGAAAAGCCACCATTGTGATTGAGCAGTAAGTACAAACGACGTTTGACCAGATGCGTCTTGCCTGTAACAAGCACTAAACACAGCGACTCGCTCTACCACAGTATCATCCAGGCTGCTGACATCTCCCATACAATGCAGCACTGGCATGTCTACCGAAGATGGAACCAGAACCTGTTTGAGGAGTTGTATGTGGCCTATTTGAATGGAAGGATGGAGAAAGATCCCGCCACATTTTGGCATAAGTAAGTGCCCATTGTTGTCCCCATCTCTCCGAATCCTTCCCAGTCGTTTCTCATGTTCTTGCTTGTCTTTTCTTCTCCCACAGAGGCGAGATTGGCTTCTTTGATTTCTACATCATCCCTCTGACAAAGAAGTTGAAGGAGTGTGGAGTATTTGGTGTCTCCAGTGGAGAGTTCCTGAACTATGCCATTGCCAACAGGGCTGAATGGGTACTCAAAGGGGAAGGCATCGTGGAAGAGATGATTCTTACTGTCCGAAAGAAATATGGAGACAAGGAAACTGGATTGAAGTCGAGTGCTCGCTCTGACGAAGTAAGAGCAAGCAGCCTTGGAGTTGGTGGCATGGCGCCCTAATAAACCTTTGTTTGGACTGTGAAACCTTGGGAAGGTTTTGAAATGGAGAAAGAGGAAGGAAAAAGGTGTTCGACCGAATCTCCAAATCTCCAGAAGAGTCATTCCTTGCAATACTGCACGTCCAGCCCAAAACGGGAACAACAAACAAGATGCAACCACCTCCTCAAGTCCATTTCCATTGCCTCCAACAGCATCTACTCCTCCGGAACCGCCCCAGGCATTTTCGACTCCCAACAGACCACTCTCCTGGATCCTTTCCTCCACTACCTGCAAACCGTTGTGACCTAAACTTTACCTATATATAGCTAGCTAGTCTACAATTCCATATATTGAAATCGCATGCATTGTACACGTATATGACCTAGATGCCGCGCCGTTGCTGTCGTTTGGGGCTAGCTGTGCGAGGTTCAGGTTCTGCAAGGGGATTGTGTCAAGATTAAACGAATGGTGGCTTTGTTCGCTGTCCCAGAGACCACGGAATCATCGTCGTCGCTGTCGGCCAATCGTCAAATACAAATGGACCTCTGCGTCTTGCTTCAGCGGGTTGGCATTGGCGCGTTACTGTACCGTGGAAATGCAGTGCCGGTACCGCTACGTGTACGCCGGTGGAGGAATTCCACAATTCGACAACTTCTCCGATTGAATCATCCTGGAGAGTTATGGCGCTTCCAGGAAAGAGATTAGAGGCATTAGCCGTCCCTTCTTTAATTAAAAGGCTTCAGTGCCCTTTATATTATTTTAAGACCTCACGCACCGAAAAGATCCAGACAGGACACAAAATCACGCAACATTCACAACAAAGGAACAAATTGGTGATAAATTGGTGATAAGTCAAAGCAACCTCAGCCATGGCATACCGCACCTCACAACAAGCAGAAGACGACGAATCCAAGTCTCGCATGCTGGCTTCCATATTTCCAGAGCTCGAGTCCAAGTTCGGCCAATATCCAATGAAGCACGGCAACTGGATGTATCCGATTCCAACCGAGACCGACCAATACGGCCGACCGGCCTTTATTGAATGCCAAAAATCCATCAACGATACAACTCCGCACAAGGAACACTACGTCTACGGATCCGTGACGCATGAGCGACTGGGAAAACGAAGCGGATATTACCATTTGTTGACCAAGGAAGCCCACAAAATCCTACACAAGCGCACTCAGAAACCCCACATGAAATTGCACTATTTCTTCTGCACCGATCCCATCCAACGAACGGCCTGGGCCACCACCCGCCAAATCGTGCAACTCCGCAGCGTGAGTGGCCTCGCGGACGACGATCATGCCGGAAATACGCGGGATATGATGGTGGCATTTCAGGGAGATGCCACGGGCGGGGCGGCCGGTCAAGTCGCGGTGGGAACCATGGCCAAGATGGCTATTATGGGCGGTCTCTGACACTACTACTACGTACTATTTCCTCCGTCCTTTCTACTGGAATGTCCCTGCTTCAATCCATCGTCAATTTATAAAATGGACGTTAGAAATGAGAAGTTTCTTTCCTGCAATGATCCCTTTTCAGCGTTTTTGAACGGTTGTGTATTATGCTTGTGGAACGCAGCCGAACGTTGAATAAAGATTAAGTATCAAAGCATTTTGTAATTTAGCAGCAAGCAGATATAGCAATCATAGTTTAGTGGTAAAATATCTGCCTTCCAAGCAGATGTCCTGGGTTCGATTCCCAGTGATTGCAGTGCAATCGTTTTGCCTGGGTGATCAGTGGGTGGCTGTTTGCAACGATGGAAGTTTTGTTCTTTGTTCCGCTTGGCAGGACAATGTTTGCACTAGCTAGTCCAGTCTAGGTTTTCCTTGTACTATGTTGCGGGTGCAATCTCCTTCTTCGCTTTTATCTAGTACTTTTGGCGAAGCGAACAATCTCTGTATCACCAGAATGGGGAATGATCATGATCTTCATTCTGGCACTCCGCAATACTACCTAGTTCATTGACCACTCTCTCTAATAGCGAAGGTCACTCCCAACCAGGCGATCGTTCCATCAATCGGTGTGTACCATATTGGTTCGTACGGATGGTCGATCAATATGTGCTGTCGTCCCACACTCGGATTCGATTCATTCATTCGAATGGTGCAGGTGTATTGCTTCAGAGGAATCGAATCGTCGGACAAGATGTACATGTAGTCCTCAGCCCCTTCGCCGACTAAATTCAGGTCAACGTGTATTGGGGGTCGGCGACGACCAGGGATTGGCCTCTTTGGCTTGCGTGGCCAATTCCACCAAAGAGCGACGTTTTTGCATCGATTCTGTCGTTGCCTCTGTACAGCTTGCACGCACTCCACATTTTCGACTCCAATGCGGACCGAAAATATAAAGACACAACAGTGTAACCAATATAGCCAACCCACAGGGAGACGACTAGCTCAGGATGAGCCGCTCGTGAGCCAAGTGCCAGTGAGTTGCGTCGAGATATCTCCAGGAAACAATGAGCCTGCAGAGCGCGAAAGGAATGCGAAAGGTCATTTTGGGTCATGGCGAAGGCATCCAAAAAGACCCACAATGGGGCCTCCACCACAACGAACTTCGCCAGCACAACCCAAACCAACAGACGACCATACCTATCGCAGAGGCATACCTGTTCAAAGGACAAGGCAAATTGATTGATTAAAGAAGTTGACCATGGGAATTGTGATTCTAGGAGTCCTTGCTATTGTTGGTGCTGGAGGTGGAGCAGCATACTACGTGCACAAGAAAGACCAAGACCAACCCGAGGCAGATGCTACGGCCGAGGCAGACGGCGGCAACGAAGGAGGTGCAGAAAAGAAGAAGAAGAGCAGGTTTGGATTTGGCAAGAAAAAGGAAGGGGACGGAGAAGCGAAGAAAGAAGGTGGAGGCTGGAAGATGCCTTCGATGCCCAACCAGAATAACATGAAAATGATGATGATGAAACAGTCCATGACCAACGCATTCAAATAAGCAACAACAAAAAGAAGAAGAAATCAATGGGAAGGACGTGCCTGGTGAAAAAGAATGGCACATACGTGTTGTTTGTTTTGTGATTTATTTGTGGATGGATCTACAGTTGTACTATATTATGGTGGAGACATTATTATTGGAAGAGAATTTGAAGACGCCAAAAAAGTGTTGCATATTTGCCTGTTTTGATCAAGCTGGAAGCTACCGTACCGTGAGGTGCTACAGTACTAGCTAGCTACTGGATTTAGATGCAGAGCTCTTTTTCCCTGATGGGTAAGGGAAAGACAGGAGAGGTTTGCAACAATAAACTAAGACTTTGCTGCTCAAGAAAGATTTCCTGCTACACTGTAGCTTGATAGAAAAGCTCTATGACTACCCTCGTTCCTACTAGCAATCTGGTAGCCATTTGAGATCTTGTGGTCCTTTCCGTATTCGCGGTGGTACTTGCTTTAGCGAAGCTGTCCCCGTGGAATCGCAAAGCCAAGCCCTTTGGTCCCAGAACATAGAACCTACTAGTCCTGAATTGATCTCTCCTGATCCCACAGAACCTACATGTACTAGCTAGCTAGCTAGTCCTGAATTCTGCATCTTCATTGCCTCTTGCAAGCCTGGCCCTCGCTGGTTTCCTTTTTTTAAAAATAAGTTACGGTAGCTAACCTCTCCGTAGCGTAGTCTATTCCCTTGCGGGTAGCTAGCCAGCAGAGCGGTGTTAGACCGGTCATTGTGGGTCACAACCAGTCCTCATTCTTTCGGAAACATATCTTTACCTTACAGTACCTGCATCCACCAGATCCAACACACAAACAAGTCGAAAGAAACATCGGCGATAGTAGTACCAGCAACATCATAAGAGACAATCGAGAGGGAGAGCTTGAGTGAATTGCTAGAACTGGAAGTTATCAGGAACCATGGGACTTTTTACACTCGGTCTTCTTGCTATCATTGGCATTGGTGGTGGAGCAGCGTACTACGTGCACAAGCAAGGCGAGAACCAACCCACGGCCGAAGGAGGCGAAGAGAAGAAGAGTGGCATGTTTGGATTTGGAAAGAAAAAGGAAGGAGAAGCAGAAAAGAAGGAAGAAGGTGGAGGCTGGAAGATGCCATCCATGCCCAACCAAAATTCCATGAAAATGATGATGATGAAACAGTCCATGACCAACGCCTTCAAATAGACCAGACAATTGGGTGTTTCGTGTTTTAGAAAAATGAATGGCGTGGCAATGGCAGTGTTGAGCTCTGTTGTGTGAACGAATCTATAAAATTGAAGAAAGCAAGACGACAATTCATTGAGGAAAATGTATATTTGCCTTTTTGGCTACCTACCGGGGCTAGCTACCGGTGCTACCCACCGATAGTGTTCCCTTTTCCCTTATGGGGGTAGGGAAAGAGACTCCTTTTGGTACGGTATGGTTGGTATATTTTGCCTTCTTGCAACAATAATCAAAAAGTAGCCGAAGAAACCGCCTTGGCTATGTATATTGTATCAATGCACCCGTCATGCAAAATAGCTAGCGATGCTCTACGGTAGCCACTTTAAGATGGCCATGAGCTAGGTACGGTACAGGTAACAGTGTCGCAAATAGGACGTTCTACTGTAGCCATGGTACCACCATGGTTAGAAACCTGTATTATTTGGCTCCGGTGTTGGACAAGAGCAGTTGCTGCAGTTGACATCTATTGAAAAGGTGTGATCGAAAGTTGAGCAGTGCCACAGGAGGGGCGGGGCGTCTTGTCCTTGATACTGAAGTGTGCAGCTAGTTTGAAAGATAGAACGCAGGGCAATGCTGTTCGGCTAAGGGATGAATGCCAACACTGAACTTCGCTCACACCCACCCACAAACCGATCCAGTTAGCGCGTGATCTAGACCATTTATCCAATTGCCACTATCAACTGATCTCCCTGGAATATCACGAATCGCACCTCTTTGGAAGCAGGCAATATTTGTGAATGAAATAGTTGTCCCGTCGTTGTCCCGTCCTAGCTAGCATCTTCCACCTACCTACTCTGGCTAGCAAGACCCCCGTGGATGGAAACCTCCACCTGTCTAAAAATAATTTGCTCTAGCTAGCTAGCTAGCTTGCTAGCTAGCTAGCTAGCTAGCTAGTAGCTAGCTAGCTAGCCTTATTACCTTTACACTTACTTCAAGCGACACCAGGAGAGATGTTCTTTAGAAACGACACCTCTGACACTAAACATTGGCACAGACGAAGTCTCTACTACTAGCTAGCTAGCCCTATGATAAGCATAATATGCACAGCCACCTTCCTCATGCAGTCCAGACGCAACGTAGAACAATTGAACATAATAGCTAGTCTAGCTAGCTAGCTCTAGCTAGCTAGTAGTAGTGCGAGTACATCCCGCATGACATGCTTTTAAAAAAATTATTTATTGAAGAGAACGAGACCTCTGACCCTAAACATTGGCACAGACAAAGTCTCTAGCCCTAAACATAGGCACAGCCACTCACCTCGGTCCGTCTGCAACAATCCGCATGTCCTCAGCAGGGTGTGAGAACCAGATAGATTTTGAACTGGTTAGGTTATAGGTTACAGCAACCAGATAGAATTTTCTATCTGGTTTGGTTATAGGTTACCAACCAGATACAGTAATTCTATCAGGTTAGGTTACAGGTTAGGTTATAGGTTACATAAATGGTTACGAAACTACCTATCTGGTTACCAAACATGACCTGCCCAAGCTGGCTGCCTAATCATCCTGGCGGGCCTCCTCCAACGCCTTCATGGCCTCCAACACTCCCAACTCCAGCATATCCTGAAAGGCTGGGGAAATCTCTTCTTCGGGTTTCTTCTTAGCAATTCTCTCCAACAGGTCTGTAGTCCGACGTTTGATTTTTTCCAGCTGCCGCAAGTGGAAGCGGTGTTCGTCCATGAACTTGGAATTCTTGTAGGTCAGGACCTTCATTTGGAAAGTAATGTCATGCTGGAGCTGCTTGAGAATCCCAACATCATACAGGTCCTCCTCCTCCTCAATGAAGCCTCCATCATTGTCTTCTTCGTCCATGATAGGCAATAGGCAATGCAATGGGAAACCGTAACCAGGTAGATCGGCGGATAACCAGATACGTAACCAGATAGGTCGTTGCGAAGAACCAGATACGTAACCAGATATGTAACCAAAACCAGGTAGATTTGGGCATAGGTTCCCTATCAGGTTCCTCTTTGAGAATTTATGAGGGAATCAGGAAGAAAAAACGGCGGTGATCAACCAGATACGTTCCGAGTAACCAGATACGCAACCAGTTAGATAACCGTTTACGTAACCGGTTACGTTCCGAATAACCAGGTAGGTAACCTATAACCTAACCACATCCGGAACCAATTACAGATTGTAAAAGGTTAGGTTATAGGTTACCAACCAGATAGCGAAAATCTATCTGGTTACAGGTTATAGGTTACGTAAATGGTTAAAAGACTCAACCAGATAGCCGTAACCGTAGGTTGACCACGGATGGTTCGCACACCCTGGTCCTCAGAGTAACTAGCTAGCTATCGGTAGCTGGGCGCAGAGAATTCCTCGCAAGCACGAAGCGCTTTCACAGACGAAGCCTCTACCGCAAACTACTACATGTACTACATGTTATTGCTATAGCTGGCTACCCGAAGCCCTTAACATAGGCACAGCCACCTTCCGCATTTCCATCAAACAGCTTCAGCTTCCACCACTCCAACCTCCTCATAAACCGAGACTAAGAAAATCTACAATCAAAGAAACAATCCACTACACCAAAGCATGAAGTTCTCTTCCACCATCCTCGAGGCCCTCAGCCACCATGCCAAGAAAACCCCTGACCAGGTTGTCTTCACCTGGGTTGACATCAAGTGTGTGGAACAAAACAAGATGACATTCAAACAAGTCGAAGACCGATCCAATGCAGTGGCTGCTCGACTCCTCAAACTGGGATGTGAAAAGGGAGACCGTGTCATGATTGCCTATCCCTTTGGCCTCGAGTTCTTGGCTGGCATGTTTGGTGCTGAAAGATTGGATCGTCCCCTGCTCCATTTATCCGCCAAACCCCAATCAGCTTAAAACAGATATGCCAAAGTTCCGTAGATTTGCGAGATGCTGGAGCCAAGTATGCTCTCACATCAAAAACGTTTGCTGCTGGTATGACGGCTGCTAGTATCCTTTACAAGACTGGCGTTAAGTGGATCGGAACCGACAAGCTAACAATCAAGAAGAAGAACTTCAGTAGCAAGCCAAGGATACGAGACCTTTATGAGAACCGAAGATATCTGCTTTATCCAGTACACTCGGCAGTACTGGTCGCCCAAAGGAGTCATGATCAGTCACGGAACCTAGAGAAATTGCATTGCTATTTCGCCATGTCTGGTGTAAATGCTTCCAATGCTGGCCTACATGGAGCCTTGTGGTTCCACAATACCATGGTAAGCTCAAATTTGTTGTTCCCAATACTGAATTTTTAAAAGCCACAATCCTCTCATTTCTGTATTTTCCTTTTTGCTCCGATAGACATGGGACTTGTGGCAGGCTTCATGACTACCCTCTATGCTGGAACTTCCCTTGTCATGGCTCACCCCTGGATTTTGTGGTCAATCCTCTGCTTTGGACTGACATGGTGGAACTATCAGGCAAACCTTACCTGTGCCCCAACTTTCCTATGCCTGCTCCTCAAACGTTTGGAGCAAGCCAATAGGAAAGCCAACTGGAGTTGTGTAAGCGGCCATGTTTGGGGGCGAACCAGCCCAAAGCATGTTGTGGAAGCAGCAGAAGACCCTCTCCATCAAACCTGAGCATGTGTACAACATCTATGGACTTGCGAGTCTGTGGTTTCCTCACTGGTGGCTCTGCGTACCCTGACTCTGAGGGGCTTGTCTGCTGTGGAGAAGTAGACTCCCCAACCCTCAACTCCGAATGTTGAGGATGGAAAGAGGTTGTGGATGGACAGGTTGGGAGTATCTGGGCCCAGTCACACCGTGTTGCTGCTGGATACTATGGCAGTCTGAGCTAACCACCACTACATTTTCCAATGCTTTGCCCAAATATGATGGGACCTGGCTTGACACTGGGATTTGGGCAAGATTGTGGATGGGCAGCTTATGTCAAGGAAGAGTCAAAGATGTCATCATTATCAAAGGCAAAAACACTATCCAACTGATGTGGAGCTCTCTATTGATGATATCTTTGGTGATGTTATCCGTCCAGGAGAACGCTTCCAGCATGGGGATGAAGGTCGGATCACTGTCGAAGGCCGAAAGGTTTTGATACATCTGGAAATGAAGATTTGGCGGTCAAATAGCCAACCATGTTTCACAATTCCATGGGCTGTTTGCCTCAGAGGTTGTTGTCCTCAAGCTTGGTGTGACACCGAAGACCACATCTGGCAAGCTTAAGAGGAGTGAGATCAGGCAGACAACAATTATTAGTGCTTGAAAGACCTTCTGTGTTGTTGCAGTTCAGCGGTGAACCAATTGTCCCCTTCTGAAAAGAAAGAGCATCTTTTCTTGAAAACACTTTTTCAAATCTTGGTATTGCCAGCAGTGAGTTTTACCTATCTGAAGGAACCCAACGCGAAATACGCGTCGTTCAATGAGCTCGGTTGACTTCAAATCGATGAGAAAATGATTGATACTATTGATGAACCTGAACTCTTTGGGACATGAATCTGAGAGCACAGATGACCACTTCTTGTCCAAGTTCAACCATTTTATATCTTCTATCTTTGGGTCAGAGGTAGACACCTTGAAGACATGGGCTGAAAATGGACTCCATTCTAAGAGGCGAGCTCAGGAACAAGGTGAGGAAGAATTAGTCCTCCACAAACTTTGAACAACTCTACCAACACCATAGCGGCTCTCACTTCTTGGAGGCATCAAAAGGCCAGAGCTTTCCTAAGCATGATGTTGGTTACCTGAGTTTGAGTGGAATCTCAAGATCAAAGTGCAGCAAGCCAGTGCTCGCATGCTCCAGGGCCTTGCATCAATTGTGATATTTTTACTACTGTTGGTTTCACTTGCCCCATCCTATGTTCTCGGCACATGGGTTTTTGACCATTGTGGCTCTGCCACAGGTTCCGAGTGTCGTGGTCCAGTCTTTTGGATTCTTCTGCCCATGCCTTTCCTATGTTCACCTACCTTCTCATTGTTGTGGTTTCTGCAAGTATGTGGTTATTGGGACATATCAGCCTCGGCAGTTTGAGATTTGTCATGGGCCTACCTTCACTGGTGGTTTATGGACAGGCTCATGGAAGTCTGGGAGTCACTGGCTGGGCACTTCTTTGTTGAGACAAAGTACATTGGATCTTCTACTGGCTTCTTGGGCAGACTTGGCTTGGTCAGCCAAAATCGAGTCATACATCCGTGAATTCGACCTGGTCAAAGTGGGAAGAAATGCCACTATTGGGCACCCTCTAAAGTGCAGAAAGTTCTCTCAATCCAACGAAGAATGTCCCAAGATGAAGTTCCGTCCCATTGTTGTTGGAAACAACTGCAAGATCTCTGGGATGGTTAGCCCTGGTGCAATCATTGGCGATGGCAGCAAGGTGGAGAAATTGACTGTTGTAGAAGAGGGTGCTGACCTACCAAATGACGTCCTTGCCAAGGGAATTCCTGCCTATAGCTCTGGGACCCACCATTATTCAGAACTCATCCAAAAGGAGGAAACAGCTTTGGGTGCCTTCAAGATTGTTTGGACTCTTATTGAAGCTTACCACTTTTTCCCACTTTCCTTCCTGGTCCATACATTTCTCAATCAAATCTTGCCATCATGGCGCTATGCAACTATTCTGCATTGGATCTTGCTTGTTCCAACCTCCTCTTTCCTTGCCCTTCTTACAAGCATGGCTCTCAAATGGCTTCTGATTGGGAAACGAGATCCATCAGATGACTATGAAATGGTTCACTGTATCGCCGAGCAACCAATTGGGCATGTGATTTCCATTTCCGTGTAGCTTGCTGGACTCTTACTCCCTTCTTTGGCCAATCCAGACTCTGGAACGCTGTCCTCTTCCTCCATGGCCTTGACGTTGACATGGAATCCGGCCTCAGCAACCCATACCTCATCTTCTACCCTTCCAAAGTTGACTTTGTTAAGATTCGAAAGTCGTTTGTTGCTACAATCTCTCTTGACTTTGGCAAGAAAGGCGACTCTAAGATTGAGATTATCAACAGCAGCGTTGGCTACAATGTCACTCTACATGCCGGTGTCAAGATTATGCGGTCTGCAATTCCCCCAAGATCAGATGTTTCCGACAGTGTCTATGATTTGAACCAATCTGGAGAAACATGGAAGCCTGCTGTGATTATGGACCTGTTCCTTCCAGAGGTGGTTCAAATGGTCTTAAATCTGGTGATATTTGCCTCCCTTATTCCTGCCTATGAGATTGGCCTTGCTGCCACAAGGAGTTCTTCTGTTTCCGTTTCCATTACTACATGCGGCATTGTGGCAGCCTTTGTTCTTCAATTGTTCCTATGGATACTTTTATCCCGAGTTGTTGAAAAGGCCTTGTTGATTCTGCCAAGGTATGCTCAACAGAGTTTCGTTGGAGTTTACATCAACCATGTCTGGATTTTTAGAGTAGGAAACTGGCTTGTTTTCCTTCTCTATGGAACTCCAATGTTTGTGTACTATGCTCGCATGATGGGTGCAACGGTTGAAGGGGAGCTTTGGTATTTTGGCAATGCTCTCTATGAGTATGAGTGCTTGCATTTCAAGGGAATCACAGTTGTTGATAGTGCCCACGTGAGTGGGCACTACATTGATCTCAATGGGCTTACTATTGATGACACCTATGTGTCTGGGTTGTTGCATCCAGGTTGTTATGCTTCTGCTGGGTCAGAGGTATCTGCTGCGGAGCATGGTCCATGGAAAGTATTCTTAAGAAGTGATATGAGTGTCCAGGATTCAAAGTGTTTGTTGAGAGATGTGGAGAGTCCAGAGGGTAGTACAAAGGAGGACTCTGACCATCAGATGCCACTTGAGTTGGATGTGTAGTTCAATATGCCCTGCTGTGGAAGAACACACAGCAGAAACCTGTGACCACTAGAGATACATTCTGGAGAAAACATTTCCACTGCCCTTGTTTTGACTCCTTCATAGAAGAGAGTGGTCGTCAGTGAATCACCTGCGATCTAGCTTTTGTAGGAATCCGATAATACACTTTGTTCTAACTATCTGACTATCTAGCCATCTAACTAGTTGTCTGACTCGAGATATCTACTACTAGCTTGCTTTCTAACTAGCTAGCTATCTAACACCTTAACTAGCCATCTACGAATGCAATAGAGTAAGAAGAAAACTTCCGATTAACACAGGAAGCCCAACTGTACCATCCAGATTTCAGTAACTACCGGTACCGTGTCCCAAATAGATACTTCTGCTGTAGCCATGGTACCAGGGTAGTGGCAAACGTTTTGCCCAACGATGTTTAGCTTGCGACAACAACTGGACCGTCCTTGCTAGCTTGACCTCGGCAGTCTTGCTGCCAGAGCCCTCAACCCCTTTAATTACGTCTCCTCGAGACGACGCTCCTTTTAGATTCCCCCTCAGTTGCACTCCGAAACCTATTCGCTCGCGTTTACTGTGTAAAATAGTGTACCCGCACTTCAGTTGCAGAATCAACGGTCATGTGTATCTGTAAGTACGAAACTTGTATTTAACGTTTTTAAACGTCTGTACAGGTGTGTGCATGCACATACGGTAACGCGACCGTAACCGCTACCGGTACCGGTACCGGTACCGTCACCGAAACCGTTAACGTACCAGTAACTGTCATGGAAACGGAACGAGGAATACGTCAACTTCTGTACATTGAAGTTCAAAACCCGATGAACAATGTTGGAACACGTCAAAGTACGAATTTGTATAAGTTATTTGGAATTGGTTAATTGAATGCTGCTTCGGACTGTAACATTTCATCGTAATTGTCGGCGGAAAGAGTATCGAAGGGAATGTAGCGACTGAAAGTTTCCAGCATATGCACCATTTCGTCTGGCATCTGGTACTTTGTTAAATCGAGCGACAGTGGTTTTCGCAAGAAGAGGCCTTTCATTTCTCTTACTCTTGAAAGTACCACGTAAACCAATTATCTGCATAGTGCATTCCACACCACAGTTGCGATTGTGTATGCCCGTGCAACTCGTGTCCTGTGGTCGCTGAATTGCTAACAAGAAGAAACTGGATTCCTTTCATGCGAACCTCAATCTTTTCCTTTTCGATTTTCATCTTGCACTTGAAGGACACTCCGTGTGTCTTGACATCGAAACATCTTGGCAACATGTCTTTCATCTCGTGTTTTACTGTGATTCTGTCAATTTGGTCACACGGAAGACACGGATTCTACACCGCAATGGAGTTTGATGATGAAAGGCTGTTCTCCGGGCTTTACATGTACCTTGCGTAGGAACACTCTCGAACCGTTTGCCTGTCATTGGTACGTCTTCATTCTTTGTCACATCAGAGGGCAGTTGTAGTACATCTTCAATGCGGATCAACACGTCCGTTGTCCTTCTCTCTTTGGG